GGATTCCATCATGTTCCTCACATCCTCTATTTTTTCATCTGTGTCCTCTCTAGATTTATTAATCATGTCTTGCACCATGAGCAGAATCTTTGCTGTTATCTGAGTAATTATTTCTGATTTCATTTTTCCCAGATCCTCTTTTTGTTGCCAGTTCAGAGAGCCCAGGTGGTTGAGTATCGGAGTGTTCCATCTCGTTTCCTTTTGGGGTTGCCGTAGGTGATCTGGAAGTCTGTTTTTGAGGCTTGTTTATGTGTCTTCTCATTTCCCTGGGGGCAGGGGTGCTTCTGGCATCCACGTGGCTCACCTTCTGTGCCCTAGGAGCTTGGGATGGCAGCAGGGGAGCTTCCTTCCGGGTGCTGGAACCCACTGAGCTTCTCTGCCCTAGGAGCCTGGGATGGAGGCGGGGAGCTTCCTTTCGGGTGCTGGGACCGGCCGAGCTTCACTGAATTATAAATCTTATTTTTAAAAGTCACCTTGTATATTTTAGATAGTAATTAAATTATTCAGAACTAGTATAGTTTTAATGAAGGCTTAATATGCACAGAATTTTATTGTTAATGTGATTTGTTGGTGTGATCCTTTGTAATGACTATTTCTTTTCTGTATAGGAGGGTGCAATACTGGTCTTTCTGCCAGGCTGGGATAATATCAGTACTTTACATGATCTTTTGATGTCACAAGTGATGTTTAAGTCAGGTATTGTATTGTTGTATTTTATTATAGTTTCAAGAGAGGTATTTGAATAGTGTAGTTTGTTTTTATTCTGTAACTTGAAGAAGGGTTGCTTCTGAGTCTATCTCAATGTAGAAATTTGGTGTTTTAAGTCCAGATTGCTTTTCTTTACTTTCGTTTCATTTTTCTTGTTTTCTTTTTCTTTAAGAATTCAGGTCCGTTCTAAAGTTCAGAGTCACAAATGAAAGTGCTGGATATGTAGTGAAGCTCCTTATTTAGCATTAGGAAGAGAATATTTTACCACTTTTCCTAAATTTACTTAAAAAAATTGAGCCCTTAAAGTCAAAATGTTACATTTGGCATTTTTTTTTCACCCCCTAGGAGTTAAATTAGTGATAGGGATAGAGTTAGAAAAGATTACTCTTGACCTTTTTTTTTGTTGCTGATCTTTTGTTTGGAATATTAGGGGTTTGCATGCTAGGCAAATGCTCTACCACCAAACTACACTAAATTGCCCAGACTGGACTCGGAATCCCTTTGCCTCATCTTCCTGTGCAGCTGGTATTGCTGACCTGCACCGCCGTACCTGGCCTGCTCTCAAATTTGAGCATTCTTCTGGAATTTAGACAAAATGTTTATCAATATAAAACTAATAAAGAATGTCAGCTGAAACTTGCTGAGGCAGTCAGAAAAATATAAAAGATTAAGTTGGTTTGATTACATGTAGAAATATAAATTAAGAATCATGTAGTTCATCTGAATTCATTGTTCTATAGGTAATAGGACTTTTCTGCATCTCTTTTTAAAGCTTATTTTTAAATTTTCAGATAAATTTATCATCATACCATTACATTCACTGATGCCTACAGTAAATCAGACACAGGTATGTTAAATATATTTGTTTTCTTTCAAGCTGAAGCATGTTTTAAGGACTGCTTTTTGTGGGGGTTTTTTTAAGAAGCATTTTCAGAGTAATCAATATATAAAAATACTTGCCTGAGTATCTTAACAAATGTGCTTCAAGGATGACTACACAAAAAGTTGACTGACAAAGGGTAATCCAAAAATCAAATTAGTTGTGTCAACATTAGGGAAAAGTTTAAAGAATTGGTTTCACTGATAATTTGTCTGGGTTTCCTGAATAAAAGGAACAGATATACCAGAAAAAGATGAGTACCACTAAAATAATTCAACCTAGAAATTAATCATCAATGATGTACTACAGCTTGAAGTTTGAGATTTTTATTTCGTACTTATATCAGCAGGTATGAAATTTCCTGTTTCATTAATAATGTATTTGTGTTTTGCCTCTGTGAGATACAGGGATTTCCCTAATTAGAATGAACACTTGATTCTTAGAAGAAAAGGTAATTTTCTGCACTACATAGTTTTCAGATCCTGGTCAATTTAAATGCATCAGAAAATCTACCATTTTTTCCTCCTAGTTTTCCACCTCTTTTTGTAGGAAAAAAGACTCTATTTATTGGCACTCTAGTCCTGGTTAGGATGCAGCCAGCTGAATGAGATACAGAATACATATGATAGGAAAGAGAGGGGGAAAGAATGAACTTTTGATCCCAAAGACTGGCAAGAAGAATATTTAATGTATAGGTACTTCAGTCTTTTCCCCCTAACCTAGTAAAGTATATATTCTTTTGCTGGAGTATGTGTGACCTGACTAGGAAACATTTTTTTTCCTTTGACTAGTGTTTTTTTGTTTGTTGTTTTAGAATAGGAAAAATTTATTGAGAGAAAGATAGCTTCTGTCTAAGACGGACAGAGGGGGAACTGGAAAATGGGTTGCCTGGTCACCCAACTTCTCAGAGGTATTTTATGGGACAAAGCCTTGAGATGAGGCAGGTTCAAGGTGGGACAAAACTAGTCAACTAGTAACATTACAAGTACAGTCCCTTAGGTAATATTGATCCAATTACAAATCACAAGGTGGACAAAACTATGAATAACCAATAAGATTATGACAAGTATAGTTGCATAGGTAATATTGATTAAATGGGAATCCAATGAGGAAACAAGTCATGTAGCAAGCATACAAGGAATGAGCAAGGATTTTCCCTGGTAAGGGGTGGGTCAGGGATCTCTCTTGGAAGATCTTGGTCCTTCACCCAGGTGATGGATACCTATTTAGAATATCAGTCACTGCTGTTTATCCTATGTGGGTGTGGTAGTTTCCTTTTACATTGCTGGCCTTCAGTGAATGTGTCTAGATTGTCCTCTATGTTGATTCCTCCTAGCTGGCCCTGTCTAACTGCCTACAAGATACGTAATTAATTTACCTTTCTACAATATTCCCCCCTCTGAAGAAGTACCCCTCACCGCTGTGAGGGGGCAAAGGGCAAAGACCTTTCTGGCTACTTCCAGCTGAAGAGGGTCAGAGTTGTGATCAGCAGTCAGAGTTACTCTACAGAGGGTCTATCTAAAGGCCCTTGATAGGCACCAGGCATGGTCATCTTGGGTAGGCCTATAGCTTTGAGCCTGGAGGAGACAAAGCCAAAGAAACAGTTAAGAATACATGGGCCAAATAATAAGGTCACCAGGATTCCTATGAATATAGCCAACAAGCGTTTCCACCAGGAGGAACTAGTAATAGGCTCCTACAAAGAGGAGAATGTTCAGGGGACTTCAGAATCGGACATAGAAGTCATATTGTAATTTTGCGGTTAGTTATGAGCTGTTTACAAGGTTGATCTGGTGGATCCCAGTAAAAAAAAGTCTAGCACATTTGTCATTAGTATGACCACTTGGAGTTTGGCAGGCACTGGGCAAGAATAAAGACAATTTTAAGAAATTAGATATATAATTAGTATAATCTAAGCATGAGCACGAGAATGGAAAGGCAGGCTGGGAAAAGAGTAACACTTAGAAACTGGAATAGTGAGTGATTGTAACCTGTTAGCACTTAGACTCTTTTATTGATGAAGGTTATCTATAAGTCTGATATTTTGTCATAAGTCTCTCCAGTCTTAGCTGTAAGATAGAGACAATTGAAGGACAAATTTAGCTAAGAAATTTAAAACTAGCTGAGCTCTTAATAGATTCTACCATAGTTTTTCCTAATGATCCATACCTATGGTCTGCTACTGGAATAGCTGGAAACTGCCAGAAGGGGTCAGTAATTGGAGCCCTTTTATATATCTAGCTTTATTACTATGGCTTTATTTTTATACATCTTTTGGTCATTCTTTTCTGCTGGTGTTTAAGACCAAAATGTATGAACCAGAACTTTCGAAACAAGAGTTACAGTGAAGCAAAATCTGTGAAACAGAACTTAACGAAACAAAAGTTATAGTGAAGCTGGGTGTTTAAGACAAAAATCTATGAACAGAACTTAAAAAACAAAAGTTACAGTGAAGCAAAAAGACCAGCGTTAGAACCTATGAAAGAAAACTCTTACCTCTGACCAGTAATCTCAGTGGAAGACCTCCAAAATGATATAGGGGGAATAGATGCAACTCCCAACCTGCTAGATATCTGAAGTTCAAGTTCGTGTTCTCTAAAAATGATGAATTTTAGGAACAATGGAGGTTAAGAGTAGGAAAAACTTACGGAAAGATAGCTTCTGTCTAAGAGTAACAGAAGAGAGACTGGAAACTGGGTTGCCCGTTTGTTTGACTACTCTTTATAGAGTGGATAAGTGTATGCATTTTTTTGCATTGTAGCTAGTGGTACTTTACTACATGTCTTCTTTCTTTAGTCTCATTGTCAGGGGTAGGCAGTGTTATTTCTGGGATTCAGTATTTGAAGAGCTCTGTTTTATTACTCCAATGTAATTGCAAATTATGTATAATGGCACAGCCAGCTGACATCCATTTTGATGAGTTGGGTATTGATGTGTCCGTAACCCATGTAGATTTGGGCTCACATTTCTTATCTTTAAACTTCTTTTTCTGTATCTTATACCCTCCTATTTTTGTTGAACCGTATGCTATAAATTTCAGTTACGTTATTTGAAATACTACAGATTTCAAATCTATAGAAGCTGATTTACCAAAAGAGAATTTTATAATATATATATATATATTTTTTGTAAGTATAAATAAATAATAGATACATGTTAGTAATTGAACAGAGTGCTAAAAATGAATCAGATGTGAAGTAATTACAATAAAAATGTACTGGAATTTAGTGTACGTTTAGGATTCTGATGTATTCATTCTTAACAGGTATTTAAAAGAACTCCTCCTGGTGTTCGGAAAATAGTAATTGCCACCAACATCGCAGAGACTAGGTAAAAATAGTTTTAAATATAAATTATTGATAAGTACTTAAGTTTCAAGCCCTGCAAATTATTAATATAACATCTTTTTTCTATACAAGATACTACTTACAGTTTCTTAAAGGTTTTGTTTTTTTTTAACTTAGTCATGGTAGTAAGCATAACTTTTATTTTTTTATTTTGTTTGTTTTAACCTGTTTTAGCCCTTTTCATCAACATGACCTTTTAAGTGATTTTTTTTCAAAGCTTTTTGTAAAGAGGTGTGGGAGCCAAAGTTGGTTTGGTCTTTGTTGCCTGATCTCCAGTTGGGGATGATATTATTTGAGAATTAGTAGTATGTAGCCCTTAAAACTTATTTTGTTCCCTTCAGGTGCTATATATAGTTTAGTCACTGAACAAATTACTTTATAGAAGCTGATATTGGGGGACCCACATAATTAAATGTAAAAATAATAGTGGGAAAGCTACAAAGTTTGGCTGTGGGCAAGTAAGAGTTTAGTACATGGTCTGCAGAATTAGCACTGTGCTGCCACTGGAGCTACCGATGCTGCCTCAGTTGCTTGATTCCTGTAATGCTGGTAAAAATGAGAAGAGTGGCAAAAATGCTCTAAAAACTATCTGTAGGCTTGCTACAGGCTAACAGTGATTTGATGTGTTTTTAATATTTTGTATATTTATTTTCCAAACAGCATTACCATAGATGATGTAGTTTTTGTGATAGATGGAGGAAAAATTAAAGAGACACACTTCGATACTCAGAACAACATCAGTACGATGTCTGCTGAGTGGGTTAGTAAAGCTAATGCCAAACAGAGGAAAGGTCGAGCTGGAAGGTAAGGTGATACCTTTGTCCAAAGCATTTAGAACACAAAGAAACTTTTCTTGTAGCAAAATATGTCACTGTAATTTAAAAATATTTATGAAGTTACCTTTCATATTTTAAATTTAATACAGCATAATTTTAAATGGGAAATTGTTATAGTTACAGCATTTGGGAAAGTATCTACCATATAATCTAATTTGTAAATGTTTTATCTCTGATTCTTTGATTCATGTAAATTAAGATTCTTTATGTTACTGATGACTTTTCCATTCTTTTTTTAAAATTATGTATTACTCAGTAGCAACTCAAGCTATTTCCGTGTTATATTATCCCCTAACCCTTTACATATATTAACTTTGTGCAATTTTCACTACAGTGCAATGAGGTAGGTAGGTTGTCATTTCCACTTTTAAGATTAAGAAAATAAATATATAAAGAAATAATTAGGCATCACATGGTTTTGTAGAAGTAGAACCATGATGTTAATCCAGGCAATCTGCCTCCACAGTTTGGGTTCCTAGTCAGTGTACTTGATAGGCATGTTGATTTTTCACCAGTTGTTACCAACATAAACACAAGAAAGTACTTTTTTTTCATTGATGTGGCAGTAGCATAATAAATAATCTCATTATTAAGAAAAAATAAAAAGTATTTGCTTTGAACTTCACAGTTTTTTTTTTTATTTCTTCCTTTTAATGTATACTTTACACTCTTATTCATGTGATTGATAGAATCATGTCTGGAGCTGCAACAGAGTTTTTCTTTTGTCTCTTACAGGTAGAAAAGATTCCCATTAATCTTCAGATATGGACCTATTTAAGAAAAAATTGAATGAAAGCTGTATCATTTTGTTATCCCTTTGAGTTGCATTCTATAAAAGTTCTGACCCACTGGTGTGATCTTCACAGATTACCCAGTATGAGTTGATTTCCAGGTGGTTTATTAAGATTGTGCAGTTGATGTTTTGGCCCAGTCATTCCTTCAGCAAAACCTAATGAGATTGACATTATTTTGGAGACCAGAGTAGGCTATACTACATGTTCCTCAATGGAAGTATTTTTGATTCTGGAGAGATGGTCAGACACATATAGTTAATGGTGGATCTACATAGACCCATTGTGAAAATTTTTAGAATTTGTTTTCCTATAGTAGCAAAAGCCTACAGAAGTACTTACTGTGCTTGAATAATACATGAATTTCTGTTACCTCTTCACATATGACTTTAATATTGTTGGAAAAATGGAATCACTCATGTCACTAGTTGCCAATATGAAACTGAAATTTCTAGTGTCCCTCTGAAAGCTCACTAAATAAAAGGGACTTAAAGTCTTTTCAAATAACAGACAGGCTGACATAATTCCATGTATCCACAGGCACATTTGAATTTATAACTCTTCATTTTGACCTGAGTAGACTGCTCTTACTAAGCATGCTCATCTGAAATCTGTCCATAATAGGGAACCAGAGTATTGGCAGCGATAAGGAATCTTGTATTTGTTAAAGAAATTAGCATATGATAAATATCACAATACAATTAGGAAGAGTAAGTTCTAATGTTCTGTAACACAATAGGTTGGCTAGTTCATAATAAAGCATTACATATTTTATGAATAGCCAAAAGAGAGGCACTTGAAGGCTTCAAACAAAGTTATTAAGGAAATGGAAATGCCAGTTACTGTGATTGATCAGTACACATTGTGTACATGTATTTAAGTGTCACAGTACACCTCATAACTATGTATAATATTCCATACTAATTAAAAAGAAAAACCATGATTAAAAAAACCCAAAAACTGACACATTAGGAAAGAGGGTTTAGGGTTTTTCAAGAACTAATGGGAAGAAGGAAATGAGATTCATAGAAATGAAATACTAATTTTGTGGCATGTAAGAAATAAATATTGGCTGCTTTCCTTTACTGTTTTCTCTGGAATTCTAAAAAGTCATTGATAACGCTTTTGGGGTTTTTTTTTCTTTCTTTTTAAAGAGTTCAACCTGGTCATTGCTATCATCTGTATAATGGTCTTAGAGCAAGTCTTCTAGATGACTATCAACTACCAGAAATTTTGAGAACTCCTTTGGAAGAACTTTGTTTGCAAATAAAGGTAAATTAGGTGGGAGAGTGAAGATTCTAAATGGGAGGTAGTATTCTAATTGCAAAATCTTGTATAGAAGAAAGTACTGTATTAATGTATAAGAACTTTTTTTCATGTCTCAGACAATTGTTTTACCTTCCTTCAGATGTATATTAAGTAGTGTATAGTTATATGCAGTTCTGGAACTAGGCTTCCTATGTTTGAATCCCACTTCCTCCCTGAAGCATTGGGCAGATTATCTAACTTCATATAACTTCTTCGAACAGTATATGACACATATGAGTGTTCAGAAATGTTAGCTACTTGTTACATCTTAAGATTTATCCCTTATTAGAAACCACTTAGCATTTTTTAGCATCTTACATATTTTGATGTATTAAGCCTTACTTTGAAGGTAATCAGTAGTCAATTTTTGAGATTTTCTTTTTTGTACTGGGGATCGAACTTGGGACCTTGTGCTTTCAATGAATTTTTGAGATTTTTAACTAGCTACTTCTCTGACTGGTAAGGCAGTAGTATATTGGCCTTTAAATGTATTTTATATAGTCACATGTAATTTTTATTTGATAAAAATAACTAACTTGAAAATCATTCGTCAATTTGGTGGTTTGACTAAATTGTTATGTTAATATATTGTATATGTTTAATTATTTTGTCTTTCCCACAGATTTTAAGGCTAGGTGGAATTGCTTATTTTCTGAGTAGATTAATGGATCCACCGTCAAATGAGGCTGTGTTGCTCTCCATAAGACACCTGATGGAACTGGCAAGTTTAATATATATACACACACACACACACACACATTTTTTAGTAGTACATGTTTGCAGTACATAATGTTTACATTCCTTGTGTGAAGTTAGTATGTGTACATAACACATCACAATTCCCTTTCCCTTCCCCTTTTGCCCCGTACCTCTCTATCTCTTGACCTTTCCATTCCAGGAAAGATCTATCTCCAGATTTCTTATATATCTTTTATTTTGCTCTTCATTTATACTGTAGGGTTTTCATGTAAGAAAAACCATGTGATATTTAAGCTTGTGTGTCTGATTTATTTCACTCAACATTATGGTCTCGAGGTGCATCCATTTTTGTACAAATGACAAGTTTATCTTTCATTATGGCAGAGTAGTAGTACTCCGTTGTGTGTAAAGAACACATTTTTTTGTCCATTCATTTGTTGATGGACTTACAGGCTGCTTCCAAGATTTAGCTGTTAAGAATTGTGCAGCTGTAAACATGGGTGTGTCACTGCAGTGTGATATCTTTAATACTTTCGGGTAGATACCAAAAAGGGAACTAGCTAGGTCAAATGGAATTTCTAGTTTTAGTTCTTTGAGGAAACTCTGTACTTTTTTCTTTTAAATTCTAGCATAAAGTGTTAATAAATCAATGAATGTTAAGTATCAAATTTAATTTGTTATTAGACTTTAGCTTGGTATGTTCTTATAGGATTAGGCTTTTTCTCTCTTTTTTTTTTTCCATTGCAAGCCTGATTTAAAATACATGAAATTTTGAATTTTTTAGTTGCTGGTTTTCATGTATATTCTTGAAATAAATTTGATTTAGTCACCTCTTCCTATCATTTTTTTTATCAAATTCAGGTAATTATAGTACAGTTTGGGGTTTTTTTTGTTTTTTTTTGTTTTTTTGGTACTGGGAATCGAACTCAGGACCTTGCGCCTGTGAGGCAGGCAGTGGAACCACTGAGCTAAACCCCAGCCCTAGTACAGATATTTTTTAAAGGCAACTCTTAAATTTCTTTTGAAGAAATACTAACAAAATGGTCTTTGTCCAAAATGCTTAAGTCCTCAACCTGTCATTTTTGTTTTGAAACACTGTTTCCAGGTTTAATTGACCCCTTAGGGGCGGTCCCTCCCACACAAGCAAGACTGTATTTAAAGAGGCACAGGACTCTAGTGAGTTAATGCCCGCAGTAAAGAGAAAGGCACAGAAGTTAAGAGATCTACTGTGCACTATACCTGTAGCTATTAATTTTTGGAGCAATTTAAACCATGAATTAAATTTAAATTTCAGTCTCTATTTCTAATAACACATTTCAGATACTCAGTAATACATGTGGCTACCGTTCTGGATAGCAAAGAAGTAGAACATTTGTGTCTTTTTTATAAGTTCTTATGGTTAGGGTTGGGTTAGAGTAGTCAGAGACATGTTTTAAATATTTCGCAGGTTTTGGGGGCCATCCAGTTTTGATGATGTGAATACATTGGAACATTATAATAATCTGTTAACATAATAAACTGTTTAAATGAAAAAGCATTGTAAATTATCTATCTCTACTGGGATTTGGATTAGATTTAGTGAGATCACTGGAATTTAGGAAGTAGTGAGGTTTTACTATTGACTTCTTCCCAGCCAGACTTTTAGGTAATACAGTGTCATTCTGGAGATGTAGGTGGTGAGCAGAGAATCAGCTTATTTATCCTACAGATAGACAACCAGAAGACACACCTGGACTCAGGCCCAAGTGGCATGATTTCCTCTCTCCTAATTGAATAGAAGAGCAAGTTTTAGCCATTTGTAGACAGTACATGAAAAGGGCAGCAAATCTTTGCCAACTTGAGGGATCAGACCCACAATTTTTTAGAAACACTTTTTATTTTGAAATACAGCATGCACATCCAGGAAAGATGAGAATAAAAATGTACATTTTAGGATTTCTGACAAAGTAAGCACTGTTTAGTAATTACTTAGGTCAAGAAGAACCCATGCAAAAAGCCCCCTTTGTATGTTCTTTCAGTTTATCCTGTGTCCCTTAAACCTAAAGATAGCCTCTATCATAATTTCTGTCATTACTGTATTGGTAATCTTTCACTTGTTTTGTCATACAAATAGGCATGTCTGTAAAGAGTTGTTTAATTTTGCCAATTTTGTGAACTTTATACGAACTCAAAAAGTATATGGAATTTTTTTTCTTTATAGGTGGGAGGAACAGCATTCCTTTTTCTTTCAGTTAACATTGTGAGATTCTTCTGCCTTGTTGCTTTTACATATACAATAGTTTATTTATTTTCTTTACCATGTTTTATCATATGAGAACTGAAAGATATTTTCTATTTTGGGCTACCATGTAACATTGATGTGAATATTTTTCAGTATTCAGTGTTTCCTGCTGCTCAAGTTCACATGTATCTCAATGGTATATACTTAATTGTGAATTCACTGGGTCATTACGTATACATGGTTGGTGAGAGTTCTAAGTAGAAGTCTAATTACTCTATAATTTCACTAATCCTTGGTATTATCAGTCATATAGTAATCATACTGGTAAGTGTCTAGCTATTTTAATTTTTGGATTTAATTTGCATTTCCATGACTCATTGAATTTATGAGCAGCTTTTTATGTTAACTGCCTATTTGGAAATCTTTTCAGTGTATTGTTGATGCTTGTTTTTCTGTTAGGTTGTAGATTATACACTTCCTGTGTACTCTTAATCAGAGCCTTTTATCAGTTGTGTATTGACTATGTCTATATTTTCTTTGCTTTTTTTAATAGTTTCTAATGCACAAAACATTTCAATGCTTCAGAGTTACTGTTTTTTGCCCCATAATAATGCTGCATACTCTGGGATCATGAAGTTTTATTTTTTAAACTTGTTTTGTTTTCACATTTAGCTATGTAATCCATCTGTATTTGATGTGTGTGGTAAGACAGGAGCCTTAAGCTTTTGTATAGGTAGATTTGATTGATGGAATACTGTTATAACAGTAGTGGTGAACTTATGGCATGCAGGCCACAGCAGGCTGTTTGTATCATTGAAAAATCTAAAAGGTTCCTATCACTGCTCCAGAAAAATTCATCCTTCTTTCTGCCATACCCTTTGACAAAGTGTCTTTGGGCTTGCATATTGGCCTGTATTTTTATCCTGAGCTGGTGTCACACTGCCTTAATTATCAATTTGGGGAGAATTGAAATATTTATACTGCTTTACATAGTAGAACATGATGTATCATCTAATAACTACATGTAGAGTTTTTCTGTTTGTGATTTTGTTGCTGTTGTATTGAATTACATTGATAATTCAGATGTTAAACCAGCTTGATCCCTGAAATAAACCTAGCTACTTGGATTCAGCTAGGCATTACAGTATTTTGCTTTGCCTTTTTTAATGTATAAAACTATTTAGTAGTTTTCTTCAAATGTCCCTGTCAAACTTAGGTATCAAGATTATGGTAGGACCAGGGACTTAGCTCAGTGGTGCCGCTGCCTGCCTTGCAAGCGCAAGGTCCTGAGTTCCATCCCCGGCACACCACCCCCCATCCCCCGCCAAAGAAAGATTATGGTAGGCTGAAGAATTATAGTTCTATTCTCTTTGAGTTTTTGTAAAATCAAAATGTTTAGAAATTTGTCTGATGTTAATTTTATGTTAAAAATTATTGTATTTTCTTATATGTCTAGTTTTGTGTACTGAAATTCTATTTATAAAATTATTTGTAGATAAAAATTTAAACCCCAGGATGATAATTCTTCTAGAGAGGATGATGTATGTTGTTTCTTCTGGGGAAGGAGACCTCAATCTCACCTCCTTGAGTGTCTACCTTTCCCCTAATCCTAGATTTGTAATTTTTACAGATCTTTTGCTAATTCTTGGTATCTTAGAGCCACTTGTTGAGCCATTCTCAGGCTTGTGGTTGGACCAGATTACCAAGGGAGCCAGAGTACAAGTCATTCCCATTTTCCAGGATTCTAGACACAACCGTTTTCTTTTCTTTCCTGTCTCATTGCGCCTAAAGGAGTAAAATCTAGGGTTTGTGTGTTTGACCCAGCTATGTATCACTGTATCTTTTTGTTTTTGTCTTTTCTGCACCACTTGTGCTTTTGTGGTTGATTTTTATTTGACTAAACATTATGCCAAGTTGTGGATTAATTTTGTTTTTGTTTAAATAAATTTTTAACCTTTGCTAACATCAGAATTTATGTTTTGATAGAAAAAACTACAGCAGAACAATAAGGAAAAGTGAAATATCAGTTGAAGATTAAACTAGTTCAGCATTTGGGTTTAAGAAAATGAGTAGTGACTAGTTATCTTTCTTAAGTAAACTAAAATAGCTTTAATCATAATGCTTTACCATGCTTGTTTTAAAAATAATTTTTCTTTACAGAATGCTTTGGATAAACAAGAAGAATTGACACCTCTTGGAGTCCACTTAGCACGATTACCAGTTGAACCACATATTGGGAAAATGATTCTTTTTGGAGCTCTTTTCTGTTGCTTAGACCCGGTACTCACTATTGCTGCTAGTCTTAGCTTCAAAGATCCTTTTGTTATTCCATTGGTAAGAAATAGGACCATAGAGGCTAAGCATATTTAGATACTAAAAGTAGTTGTTGCTTTAGATACCTTTTAAATTTTTATTAGTATAGTTTTATTACCTTATTAGAATATTTTTTAGTGTCAGAAAAGTTTAAATTACCTTTATCTTTTTTGTTCATTTGTTAGGGAAAAGAAAAGATTGCAGATGCAAGAAGAAAGGAATTAGCAAAGGAAACTAGAAGTGATCACCTGACAGTTGTGAATGCGTTTGAGGTATTAAAAAAAATTTTGGCTAGATTTTCATAGATTATTCCATTGAAGAACTGATAATAAAATAGAATAGGAATAAATTTAACCTTTAAAAAAATTATATTACACATACCAGGAATAAATGGCTGAGAATGTTTAAAATTAGGTGAATATTTGAAAAATAGCTAATTCATTTTGAATTTTGTAGTACCTCAATTATATTTACCCTTTTAGGATAAATGCTTTATTTGTGTTTTGGAAAGAATAAAACAAATGAACTATTTAAATTTTTATATTTGATAGTTTTCTTTCATCTTAGCTTCATGACAATCTCCATTAATAAACTAATCTTATATTCAGATTTAACACTTTGATTGGGTATTGTAAGTATGCTTATAATTCAGATTAGGAAGACATTCTCTTCTAAAATTCAGGCTTATTATTCAAGGTAACTGTTATTCATCTTTATAAAATTTAAATGTATTTTGGTTTTTAGAGGAAGTAAGTATCTTTTTGCGATAGCCTAGATCAGTGATGGTGAACCTTTTAGAGCTTTCATTGATAACAAACAGCCCGCTGTGGCATGTGTGCCATAGGTTCACCACCACTGGCCTAGATTCTGTTTTGCACTGCACACTATAGAAAATGCTGTGTCCCCCCCTCTTCCCCTTTGAGCTTATTTAATCTATCTTCTTTTTCCCCATTTTCCTCTTTCTACAACTAAGAAATATAAATTTATCAAGTTGAAAATGTAAAACAGCATAGAATTTAACAGTGTGTTCTTTTTGATTGATACTTCATGTTCATTATGCCATTTTGTATAAAATATACAGTTACTACGTAACCTGTGCTCGTGTGTCTAAAACATCAGTATTTCCATGGCAGTTTTCTTTTAAGGATCAGACTCATAAAAAATGTGTTTTTTTAGTTTGTAAATTGCAAAATTCTTTGAACTTTTTGAATGTTGAAGATTAAATTATTACTAAAATAAAACTAGTAAGTAAAAAAAAAAGTATTCTGCTGTGAAGGACAATGTAAGTAGAATTTTTTTTTTTTTTTTTTGGTACCGGGGATCAAGCTCGGGACCTTGTGCTTTTGAGGCAGGTGCCGGAACCACTGAGCTAAATCCCCAGCCCAAAGTAGAATTTTTCATTTGTCCCATAGGGATGGGAAGAAGCTAAACGACGGGGTTTCAGATATGAAAAAGACTATTGCTGGGAATATTTTCTGTCTTCAAACACACTGCAGGTAATATTGAATGTTTAAAATTAATTACATAGACTTTTAATTACATTATGTATGAAATGAATCAAGACTTTTAATTACATAATGAAAAAGCTTAAGTGAAAAGAGACATGAGGACTTATTGATAGAACACATTTATGTAGCCTTTGAAGGATGCTGTAGGCAAAGAAAAAGAGAGTGGGTCTTGGCATGTTTCGAAAGCAGATACCTAAACTATTCCTTGATAAGGAATAGCTTAATAAGAATATGCATTCAGTTAAAAATAAATAAGAAAAGAAGTCAACAGACTGAATAAAAAGACCCAATTGAAGACAAAGAGAAAAATCACAAGGAACAGAATGGACACCTTTAAAAGCAAATTAATACTGTAGAAAAAAGGTTTGGGATATTCATAGTTTATGAATGCAAGTGATAAAGGTAAAAGGAATAAGTAGAAACTCTTTATTTTATTTATTTTTTTGGTACCAGGGATTGAACTCAGGACCTTGGGCTTGCCAGGCAGGTGCAGCACCACTGAGCTACATCTCTGGCCCAGTAGAAAGTTTTTAGACTGGCTGATCCACCATGAGGATAATAGGTATCTCTACATAGAGATATTGTATAATTGATAGTTATTCATAGAATTATAGAAGACCATTTCCCTGAACTGGAAAAAAATGAAATGAACCAGAAATAGATAAAGATGGCTGAATCCAAGTGTTATTTGAGAACATGATGTCAAATCAAGATCTTGATTCAAGTAGAAGGGCAAGATTCAAAGCATCTAAGGAATACTGTTCCTTTGAGCTCTTAAAAAAACTCATTATCAAATGCTGCCTATTAAAAACATGAGAGGATTTCAGGAATGAATGCATGGCTGAGTCAGCTAGTAGTGTGGAGTTGAAATTATTTAAATAGAGAACTAATATATAATAGCGGTGAGAGTTACACATACAGAATAGAATGTAAAAATTGTTATCCTGAACAGTATAATAGTAATGAAAATCAGGAGGTAGCCAAGAGAGTTGTTTGTTATAGGAAAATTTGGTGGGAAATTTCAAGTAACACCTTTATAAAAGAAAGGTATATATACTTACATTTAATCAGCTTTATGTTTCATAATCTCCTAAAGCTTAGCATATATTTCTTCAGAAAATATTTGTTATAATTGTGAAACACATTGATTCATCTAGCCATTCACTGTTTTTTTCTGCGTAACTTCTTTAAGTTGAACTAAAGTTGATTAAAGTTTTGTTTTTTTAAAAAAAAAACTTAATAGTATATAAGACTGATTTCATTGTTAGAATACATTTCTTTCTTACTCTGTTAGTAGATATGCATAATGAATGTCTGCAGTCTTGCTTATTACCTAGAACGAGTGATTCTTTCTGGAGATTATTGAGGCGAGGGAAGACTTCATTGATATTTTTTTGTTTCCTAAAAGCTTTATACTGAGCCATGCAACATTTTTACTAAAATTAAAATTTTTCTTAAAAAAATCTATATGCTAATGTGTTAACAGTTATTCTTGCTAATAGAAATGTGGATATTGCTTATTTTGTGTTTTTCTACTTTTTCAAAATATGGGTGAAGAGTTACATTAGTGAATCTTTTCAGTCTTTGTGTACTGATGGTTATTCATTGTAGTGTGCAAACAGCTTATAAAAGGCTAGATTGTACTCGAGGCTTACAAACCATGTAGTCTCATTTATAAACTTTTATCTCTGATCGTACAACATGTACATAAATGAGTGTGGCAGTGTCCTAATAAAATTTTATAGACAAAAACAGGTTTTTGTAGTTTGCTGACACCTTTTCGAAACATCACATTTTTGTAAATTTTCATAAATCAGGGAAAGCTTATAACTAAACTTACTCATGAGTGTATGCTTTTGGCCCCCTAGTGTGTGAAAGGTTTTCAAGTATTTGTTAACCATTGCTCCCGTAGATGCTGCATAACATGAAAGGACAGTTTGCTGAGCATCTTCTTGGAGCTGGATTTGTAAGCAGTAAAAATCCTAAAGATCCAAAAGCTAATATAAATTCAGGTAAACCAGGAAACACAGTGTCAGTAACTTGCCATTGTTGTCCACTGTCTTGGTATTTTACTTCTTTTTTTCTACCCTCCCACTCTCAATAGATAATGAGAAGATAATTAAAGCTGTCATCTGTGCTGGTTTATATCCCAAAGTTGCTAAAATCCGACTGAATTTGAGTAAAAAAAGAAAAATGTAAGCATTGACGATTATTATGAATTACTTGCAGTTCTAAATTTCTGAAATCCTCTACTGTAACATAGCTTTTATTCTAAATTTTTTTTAATCCACATTTGGGCCCTACTCATGACCCTTTAGAAGAAAGCAAATTATTTAACATAGGCATCACTCCCGCACAACACATCCTTGGAGTTACCTGTCTGACCACTCAGTCACAAAGAATGTTCATAAACCCAAATGTGAATGTTAGGAAAGCCAGCCAGCTATTATAAACTAGTACCTAGACAAAAATTAGAATAGATTTGTTTTCAGAATTTCTGCTTCCCCATCTCACTTGTGCACACTCATGAACTTTCTCTTCCCACCCCTTCTCCCTCTGATTATAAAATGGATATTTTTGTAACTGCTCTTTCAATAAAATTGTAATTTGACTATTTTAATAAAATACGAGCCTCTCTCAGCCTAGTAACTGAGCTGATTCTAGTAAGGGTACACAAATGGCTAGTGGTGTGTGAATTGCTACCACCCTTTTGGAAGGCAGTGTAGATTAGAATTATATATTGAATTATTAAAATAGTGGCTTATTGATAATTACACATTTTGAGAAATAATGTCCTGAGAGTAATTCCAAATATTTTTTAACAGCTGAATGTGTCTAGTAGTAATGGGGAAATTACGGTTTTATAATTGATATTTATGACATTTCCATAGGTGGACATGTAAAACAATGATTGTGTAGTAACACAAAATACTAGAGCTGATTTTAAATGAAAATACTGGATTTTCTGTAATTGTAAATGTGTGCGAAGATAGGCCAACATGCAAACTTTGTTCTAGGGCATTAGTTTTGAATAGAGGTGACCAATCCCCCACTTCAGCCTCCTTCCACCCCAAAATATTTGACAGTTCCTGGTAATATTTTTTTGGGTATCGTAACTGAGGTGGTCTGATAAACTTGTACTAGATAGCAGCCAGGCATACTGTTAAGCATCCCGTAATGTACAGGCAGCTCCCTACAGCTAAGAATTACCCAGTTCAATGTCAGTAGTGCCAAGGTTGAAAAACCTTACTTTAAGGTGCAAGATTATGGGTAAATGAATAAATTTTAATCATTGTATTTGAACTGTCCATATTTTAAGTTGCAAAGTGCTTTTTTGATGTTAACACTTTGCCAGATTTTTTTTCTTTACATCTAATTTCACAGAGAGACTATTTAAAATAAAAACATTTTATTATCTTCCTCTGCCATCCTGGGAGGGCCTTATGAAAAAATGTGGCTTTCTTTGGATTGGTGTTTTGTTTTGGTCTACAGTATAGGGAGTGAGCAAATTTTGGCTTATAGACTAAAAGGCTTTTTGTACATTTTTATTGAAACACAATCCATATCCATTCATTCTTGTGTTGTCTGCTTTCCTTCTACTCTAGCAGAGTTGGAAATTGTGACAGAAATTGTAGGACTCCTAAAGCCCAAGATACTTAATTGTATCTGGTCCTCCATAGAAATTTGACAATTTGTGGATTATTAGTTGTTATGCTCTTTCTAATACAGAAGATTACTATTTAAAAATAACTTTTAAAATACCCCTGAGAATTGAAAGGTTGAACTAAATTGTGTCAAAATACATTTACTCCACATATTCCTCTTTTAAAATTGGAGGATTGGGCCGGGGATTTAGCTCAGTGGTTCCGTCGCTTGCCTTGCAACCACAAGGACCCAAGTTTGATCCCTGGTACCAAAAAAAAATTAAGTTAAAAAATAAAATAAAATAAAGTTGGAGGATTTATTTGTGAGACTACTAAAACAGATTTTTAAAATAGATTCTTTTAAATCAGTTTTAGCAAAAAAGAAAAAAACCTTAAAAATTTTTAATTTTATATTCTTCTGGGTACACAGTCTGTAAAATTTTTAAATTGATCATTTCACAGAGTTATTCTATAAATTGAGAACTTTTTTAATACTGTGATTGTCATAGTAAAATGTTTAGATTGTTCTATTGGTCTGAATCACTTAATTAATTTAGGTATTAATTTCATTCTTCATCCTTGTGATGTAGTATATGTTAACACACTCAGGGAATATTCTGTCACTTTCCAATATGTTGAGTGATTACACCTGAAGGGTTTAGTTACATGATTGAGTATTCTTATTTGGTCATTTAACTGATATTTTTCCCTGTATCATTAAGAAAATTCTGCTTTCCTCAAGTATAAACTCTTAAATTTATATTTGGTGAAAATAAACTGAATTTATCAGTGGGGGTTTTTGTTTTCTTTTAGATTCTGTAGTTTGCTTTTTACTAAATCCTATAAAATTTTGAAGCACTGAAGACAAAATTCCTTAGAAAATTTCTTGTGACAAACTTCATTTTAACTTTTATTAAGGGTGAAAGTTCACACAAAACCAGATGGCCTGGTTTCTATTCATCCTAAGTCCGTTAATGTGGAGCAAACAGACTTTAATTACAACTGGCTTATCTATCACTTGAAGATGAGAACAAGTAGTGTAAGTGAATATTTAAAATTATTTTGGATATGAACTATTAGTAATTGCATATTTTGAACTGTAAGCAGTTTTTTTTCTGAAATAAATTATAACTTTTTTCCTTAAGCAGATAACCTGTACTTTTAACTTATATTACAGTATGTTATCACAGATCTTTGTATTTTCATAAAATTGGACATTTATTTGGTTTACATGATTTCTTTTCAAAGCCTGTTTTCAAGAATTACTGGCATTTTAAAGCTAAGCATGGTGGTGGACATCTATAATTCAAGTACTCAGGGGGCTGAGGCAGGAGGATTGCTGTGACTTTGAAGTCAGCCTGACCTACACAGTTTAAGGCCAGCCTACACTACACAATGAGACCCTGTCTCAAAAAAACAAAACAAAACAAAAACTGGCATTTTAAACCAGATATGGTGCTGCGCACCTGTAATCCTGGCATACTAAGGGACTGAAGCAGAAGGATTCCAAGTTTGAGCCTATCTTGGCCAACTTAGGGACTTTAGTGAACCTGTCTCAAAACTAAAAATAAGAAAAAGGCTGGGAACCTAGCCCAGTGCTGTGGCCCTGTCCCCCCCACCCCTAAATCCTGGCCTTTTCTAAGTATAGGTTAGAATATTAAGCAGGATTCTGGTTTTCTCTTCTTTAGAACATGAGATGATTTTTAATATACTGAATATATAGATAAAAATAATTTCAGTGTAGTGTTTTCATTTTGACATTCAGAAAATATCTTGTTCAAAAGAATAGTGATATAGGGCGAGGCATTTACCTCAGTGGTTCCGCCACCTGCCTCGCAGGCACAAGGTCCCGAGTTCGATTCCCGGTACAAAAAAAAAAATAGTGACATATTTCAAGTTAAAACAAAAGTATAAAACTTCTGTGTACTTGAACTAATGAAGAGTGGTTCATTTAAAATATTCAGAATTAATCTGCATAATTTACTAGTGAGTTCTCTTCATTCCTCCTGGCTTGAACCACCAGTGGCACATGCCAGGACTGTCCCATCGGGCAGCATGAACAGCTACACGTGTATTGCTGGTGATTTAAGCAGGCAGGAGTGTAACACATTCAACTCGGAGCCCCCGGCAGTGAGATGTACGAATTACAGCCCTGTCATGAACATGTTGCTATGTCTTTGAGAAGGAAGCTACCAACGAGATTGACATTGGTGATATTGTTGAGTTAATGTAGTAATGACCCTTTTGCACTCCTGAATGCAATAATACACTTTAATTCTCATTACAGATATACTTGTACGACTGCACAGAAGTTTCCCCATATTGTCTCTTGTTCTTTGGAGGTGATATTTCCATCCAAAAGGATAATGATCAGGAGACTATTGCTGTAGATGAATGGATTATATTTCAGTCTCCAGAAAGAATTGCCCATCTCGTTAAGGTGACTGACTACATAATTCTCTGTCTTTTTTTTTATTCAGTGTCAAGGATCGAATTCAGGACCTTGCTCTTCCCAGGCAGGCATGGCACCACTGAGCTACATCCCTGGCCCTACATAATTCTCTTTTATTTTTTTTTTTTTTATTTTTATTTATTTATTAATTGGTACATTTTAGGTATACAATACATTTACATTTATCACTGGGTGCTTGTACCTGAACATGATGTATCTTAGTTCTTATTTTTTCCCCCATTACCTATGTGCCCTTCACCCCCACCACCCTACCTTATTTACATAGACTGTTTCCTTTTTGTTTTTTCCTTTCTCATAATTTTTCTTTTCCTTTCTTCCCTTACCCCTTCCCCTCCCGCCACCCCTACGCCTTTGGACCTTTTCCTATTTCAAATTATCAATTATTCGTTTTAATCATTTTCATCCTTATTTACACTTTCAGTTTCCATAATTCTCTTAACTTGCATACAAGTTAGCATATAGCCTTGTGGTTTTGCTACAAGTTTTTGATACGTTAGACATTTCTTGCTTTATTTCAGCAGAGCAAATTGTGTTAAGAAATTGATTTGCAGTTTTTCCAAGTTATTTTTTGAGGTATTAACAGACCAACTATTCTACGTGATCGTTGTGATTAAGTTTGAATTTTTTACAGTAGAGCTAAAGAAAGTCACTTTTATCTGTTACATAGTTTGAGACTATATCAGCCTTTGTTGACTGTATAATTTTTCCAACTGTAGAAATTAAGAAAAGAACTGGATACCCTTCTTCAAGAGAAGATCGAAAGCCCTCAGCCTGTAGACTGGAAAGAAACTAAATCCAGAGACTGTGCAGTCCTGTCAGCTATTATAGACTTGATCAAAACACAGGAAAAGGCAACTCCCAGGAACTTTCCACCATGATTCCAGGGTGGATATTGTAGCTGACAGCTCCTCTGTGGTGGTCTAAAAAGCCAATTTGTCAGCCATTTTTCTCAGTTTAAGTTTTGGCTAAATACCAAACCTTGAGACATGATTAATTTTAAAATGTAAGGTAAAAACCTTTAGTACATAGTAAAGATTTAATGTGCATGACTTACCAGTTTTGTCTGTAGCTATTATAAATGTACTATAAAAAGCAATATGTTGTCTGATTCCATCCCCTTGTGGTCATGTTCATACTTTGCGAGTATTTGTTACATGTTTTGAGTGTTGTACCACTGAAAAATTCCTTTGTTCTTTTAACACAAAGTTAATTTTCTGCCCATAATCATTAAGTATAAAATCTAAAAACAAAATGGTTAGCCAAAAAACAGTGTTAAGAATTGCAAGGCAACTTTTTTTTAAAAAAAAAAAACTTAAACCAGAATTAAATTGTAATAAAGCCCTATATTTAATAAAATGTACAGTGTGTAAATCTCTTGATAATTTCGTGGCTTGGTTTCTACATCTTCCCCTCTCTATTTGATGTTTTTACTATTTAAATATGTGCGTACCCCTCTTTATTGCCCTGTGCCGCACAAAGTAGCATCTAAGCATGAATCTGGAGTCTGATTACCTAAGCTCCAGGTTCCACTTAGTCACTTATGTCTTGGGCAAGTCACTTGGCTTCTCTCTGTTCTTTTTTCCTTATCTAAAATACAGATAAAAATTGGGGGGATTAAATGTTAGTACATGTAAAGTAGATAGACTAGTGCCTGTTACTGAATCTCACTGAATCTTCTTTGTACCTGAAATTTTTTTAAATGTGTAATTGTTGTATTATTTTTGTTCAGCCCTTTACCTTCTTAGCCAGTGGAAGTCAGTGTGACACATGTACTGTGTGTTTTCAGCCCTATCAAATTGTGACAAATACTGTTGGTTGCTTTCCAACAGCCATTTTAATCCTTCTTGCTGTCTTGTTTCTTGTATCCCCACCTCTGCCCAACCTTGTGTCCAAGAATGTTTGAGCCTCGGCCCCAAGGGTAATCCAGCTGTTAGGAGCCAATTATGTGGTCCTTGTCTCTTTATTTCATTTATTTATTTATTTTTTTGGTACCAGGTCGGGACCTTGCACTTGCAAGGCAAGCACCGGAACCACTGAGCTAAATCCCCAGCCCTGCTCTTTATCCCTTAAAAAGTTAAGAATGGGGTCGGGGATTTAGCTTCATGGTTCTGCTCCTGCCTCACAAGCTCAAGGTCCCGAGTTCTGTCCCCAGTACCAAAAAAAAAAAAGTAGTGAGGAGTGAGTACATGAATGAATCTCCTTGCCAATGGCAACTGACTGAAGCAATCTGCAAGGGGATGTCTGAGAAGGACTTTCCTTAGTAATAGACTTAAAGGAGGAAACTGCTCTCTTTGTTGTCTTGTCTGATCTGGTACTTGGAATTTCTGTATCTAGTTATGATCACAAGAGAACATAGAACCATAGCTTGAGGATGGCTCAGTGAAAAGATAGAACTGTCCAGAGTCCTTGATAATGCTGGAGAACTGCAGAATTAACCAACTGTACAACTGCCATACATGTGGATTTATTTTACTATGTTCTTCATTGTTTAAAACACTTTTTAATGTAGCAGAGATGATATTAACTAAAATATACTGTCCAAGTAATTGCTCAAGCCTCTTTCTACCCCTTTGTTATATAGCAGTGTGGAGCCTTACTGTCTAAAAGTGTGAAAGTAGTACTGGACATAGTGCAAAACGCAACAGGAATTGCATCCTGCTATATACCCTAAGAAACGCAAATTTTATTTTGCCTTCCAATAAATGTGAGGAAATCAAAGGAATTAGAGCATCATACAATGATTGGGATGTATTGATGATGCTACAATGATCTGTTAACTGCACTGGTTCTGGTACTGCTTCCACTTCCAGGAATGTGTCATCTGTCACTGCCAACCAAGATTTTAAGTGTAGTATTTGTCCTATGTCTGTTCTCTTGCCGGTCTCCCAAAAGTGATCTTCACCAAATTATTGCATTGAGGCATGTCACAACATTGTAACCTATTAATTTTGCCCCTTAAGTCAAGATTACCATCAGATCCTATTTGCTCTAAAACAGTGTTTAGGTTTGTGCTTTTTTTTTCTTCTTGCTTTTTATTATCCAGTTTAAATTCATAGTCATTTGGCCTAAATGGAAGATTCTTTCTTGGAAGAATTTAAAGATTTCTTCAGAAAAGAAAAAAGATTGCTTGGTTTTGTGTTTGCAATGGGATCATATGAATGGGAGAAGTGTTCCTGAAGACTTCATAAATGAGGTATCCACAGAGATTAGTTACTTTTATTTCTATCTGCTCTACTCCTGATCAAAATGAAAAATTAATTGAAGGTGCTATTTGTTTCTTTTGTTTATAAAATAGGAATTGCTAAATGGAAAATATACTCCAAGTCTAAAAACTAGTCTTGTTTTAAAGAATAAGACATTTAAAAAAAACCCTCATATTTGTCTTGGCATTTTGAACATTATAGAGAATAACTTGAAAAAATAATTCTGTGACACATTGATGGGGGAGAAAGTGAATAATGTTTAAAAACGAAGAGGCCGGGAATTTAGCTCAGTGGTTTCACCACCTGCTGTGCAAGTGCAAGGACCTGAGTTTGATCCCCGGTACCAAAAAATAAATAAAAACAAAGGATGAGTGCATATTATGCCTTCCTAACTCATTTGGGCAAAAGCTCAAGATAAATTTATTCCAGTTAATTGCAAGTTATTCTCTATTTTTGCTGCCTTTTAAAAAACAAAATCCACTCTCAAAATTACTAATTGTAGAAAATCTTTAAAAGGAATTTATTTTACTACCCTCTAATCCAGAGTAAATGGCAAATTCCTTCTCAGCTCTGGGTTTATATATATGTAACTGATCATATTGTATAATCATGTATTTGTAATAATGTGAATTATCTTTAAATGACTTTAAAATAATACATCTGATTTTAAAACAATACATCCTCATTGAATAATATTTTGGAAATTAGACAAAGTAAAATCCTGTTACCATTGTTACATTTTTATATATTTCTGTGCTTTTTAAAGATTTAAGGTATTATATATATATATATATATATATAATGAAGTTAACCAGTTCAAATGTATAATTCAATGAATTTTGTCAACTGTATAAAGTTATGTAATTAATACCACCACATTGTGTTTTTTAATTTTTTGTTTGATAGGTCTTTTTCTATTGATATACCCAAAACTTTTGTTTTACCTTTACAGGCAATTCCCCTTCCCCATTTCTGGCCCTTGAAAACTGTTAATCTGCTTTTTTGTCACTCACTAGTTTTCCCTTTTCTAGAATTTCCAGTACATGGAATCATACACAGTTTTTTGTGTCTATCATCTTTCACTTAAGATAAAGGTTTTGTGATAACTCATTGCAGATAGTAGTAATTTCTTTTTTACTGTTTAGTATTTCATTATATGTTGTTTTTACATTTATTTATTCAATTGATATTTGACTTATTTTCAGTTCTTTTGCTATTACAAATAAAGTTGCTATGAACACATATATACAGGTCTTTGTGTGGTTATGTTTTCACTCAGGTAAATATGTAAAATTGATTGTTTTATCATATGTAAGTGTGTTTAAGAAACTGCCAAACTTTACAGAAGTGCTGTACCATCTTTGCTTTTTTTTTTTTAGGAAAAAAGCACCTGCATTTTTTTATATTATTATTTTTATTGGTACATTTTAGGTATACAATATAATGACATTCATCATTGGGAATTTGCACCTTCCCATACTCTATCTCGGTTCTTATTTTTTTCCCCCTGCATTTTATTAGTATTCACGGGCACCAGGGCTCAGAGAACAGGCTGGCTGGAACCTGGGATGGAATTGAAGTGGGGTCACTGTAGATATGGCTGGTTAGGTCTTGGGGTGGTGCAGGGCCCTGAGCCTGGCTCCTGTATCTGAGTGGAGAAAGGAGTAGGAAGAACCTCACCCCATCTGAGGAGTCTCAGCCCCCTGTCTTCTGCTATCACGGCATTTTGGGCTCAGGGCACAGAAAGTGGTTTTTATCAGTGTGTCAGTAAAGTCCCATAGATGCGGCCAGCGTCCTCCAAGATTGCCCATGTTGGTGACTCCTCAGGTGTGTCTTCTCAGAGGGTGGCATCTTTGCGTTGTTAACAGCATTTGAGGGGTCCAAATGTTTCATAGCTATTTTTAGTTGTTTGTTTTTTTGGTTTTTTTGGTACCAGGGATCGAACTCGGGACCTTCCGCTTGCAAGGCAGGCGCCGGAACCACTGAGCTAAATCCCCGGCCCTATTTTTAGTTGTTTTTTTGGTAATTTTGTTAAACCTTGTGGCATTCTCACTGTGGTTTTAATTTTTTACTTCAGTGATTAATGATCAACATCTTTTCATGCACTTGTTTTGCTGTTTTCTTAGTTGTTTGTGTGTATTAATATTCTACCTTATGTTAGGGATTTAAAAATGATTATTTTGTATAAGCAGAAATTTATTTACATTCTTTGGCACTGAAAATGACAAGACTTACTTTTCAGGTGTCTAGTATATTCCAAAGTGCTAAGCCATTGAAATCAAGTGCAGAGAGAAGGGCAACCATTTTCGTCATAATCGCAAGAGGTTGCATGTTTACCATAAAGTGAAGGATAAGGCATGAGAAGAAACTTATTAGTGTTGAGAAAGACATAAAGAAAGGTAAACACCTGATAGGGAAGGGCCTGAAAGGCCCTTTACTATGGATGATGGATCCAAACCAGTCCTGTTGAGTTAGGGAACTTACACTCTGTATCAGTCAGTATTTATTAAAGAAACAGATATAACAAGATACACAAATATGTATGAATTTACAAGATTGGCTTACAATGGCCACCCACAAAGTAGGATGAGGGAGGCCAGGGGGTCTGTGTGCACACTGGAGACCGAAGGATTTAGTCCAAGGTCTGGATCTCCCTGCAGTGTTCATGTGAGTCTGCATCAGATGCGTCTGTGATGGAAGCCTGAAGGATCCATGCTGGAAGGCAGACTGCAAGTGGGGACTTGCAGAAGAAGAAGGCAGACTGGAAGTGGGGAGATGATGTCCAAGGAAGCAGCAACATCCTTCCTCATTTCCCTTTTATAAAGTCCAGGGTAAGGGCCACCCTAGAGTGGATCTTCTACACCAGAGGGCATGGAATTGCTGAGCCAATTTAGTTAAGCTTCTCTTAACCGAACTTTTCAAGTTGACACAATCAACCATCACACACCCTTTTTCTAGTTCTTAAATTTGATTCATGTCATGGTATAGATTTTCAAGAAAATTTTTTCCAAAATGACTGGTATATTTATAAGACCTTGAAGATTGTTTGGTTTATTTCTACACCTACACCTTATTTCAGTATTTTTGGTGCTTGGTCTTTGCCATATCTTTCATTCACCCCACTTTCTTTTAACAGCCATTTTTAAACTGGATAGTTGAGTTATTTTTGGTTATGAGAAGCCATTTTTTTCTTTGATTTTAAAGCAAGGATGGAGTAGACCTAACATTTGTACAGTACTCTAAATGCAAGTGGAATTCAACATATTAGATCTATTTTTAAATTCAAGTCAGTTTAACAGACTTAAACAAAAATATCTGTTCTCATACTTTGATAAATACATATTCGTAAAATATCAAAGATGATTTTGAGCCATAGTTTGCTGTTTTTTCATGTATATTGACTTTCTAAATATGCTTTTGTATCAGTTATTGTTTTTCTATACTGTGTTAAATATGGCTCACAGTGAGTGGTTTGCAAATATTCTGCAAGATTTGCATTCCTGGAATAGGAATTCAAGTACAACCCCACTTGGTTGCAGTCTATAATTCTTTATAAAAATTGCTGGATGTGACTGGTAATATTTTGACAAGGATTTTGCCGCTCTTTTCATGAGAGATACCAGGCTATGGATTTTTCTTTCTACAGTAAAACCAGCTTCAATGTGAATTGAAAAGTGTTACCTTCCTTAAATGTTTAGAATTCTCCAACAAAGGCATTTGTACTTGGAGATTTTAGGAAATTTTAAATTTATGAATTATGCACTTAGTAGCTACAGTAGTGTTTTGCTAGTTTATAGTTTTCAATGAGTTTGTCCATTTTATCTAGTTTGTTGAGTTTATGTACATAGAGTTGTTTATAGTATCCCTTAATCCATTTTTGTGGAAGCTGCAGTGTACCACTTTTTTCATTCTTGATGTTAATAGTCTTTTTTGTCAGTATTGCTAGCAAAAGAGCCATCTATTCCATTTCTTTTTCTTTTATTTTGTTTTCAATTTCTACACTTGTACTTTATTTCTTTTACTTCTGTGGGTTTGTGTTTTATTTCTACTTTCTTGAGTTTAGGTGTGAGTTTAGTTTCTTCTTTGCTAACGTATTTTGTGTTATAAATTCTCTAAGAACTCCTTTAGCTACATCCTACATATTTTTATGCATTATATTTTCATGTCAATAAGCCAACGTGTTTTTATTTTCATCTTTGTATACTTTATTCTTTCATCTATAGATTGTTTAGGGATGTGCTGTTTAGTTCCAAGTGTCTGGAGACTTACTTTTTGTTCATTTCTAGTTTAGTTCCATTGTTGCCAAAGAATAGTCTTTGAATGTATGTATTTCTGTTCTTTTAAAGGTGTTGGTTTGTTTTATGACCTAGAATATAATCTATCTTGGTGAATGTTCCATAGCTATGTAAAAGAGAGTAGTCTTGCTGGGTGGGGTGTACTGTAAATGTCAATTAGATTCCATTTCTTGGTCTTCTGTATATTTTTCTTTTTAATTGTTAGTTTTTACTACATCTATTTTCAAGCTCTTAGTACTTGGTATACACATTTAAAGTTGTTTTGTCTTCTTGGCATGGTGTTCCTTTTATTGTTTAGTAGTGTCCCTCTCAGTCTCTGGTAATTTTCTTTGCTCTGGAATCTCCTTTATCTGATGATAATAATAAAGCCACTCCAGGGGCTTTTCAATTTATTTGTTTGATATATCTTTTCCATTCATGTACTCTAAATGTATTTCAAATAGCATAGTTAGGTCATTAAAAAACTTGTCAATATTGGCCTTAATTATTTAGGCACTATATCGTATGTATTCATTAAGTTTGGCACTTCATTTTCTTTTCATCCCTGTGTTTTCATCCCTGTTTTCTTTTTCCTGTGATTTGCCAGAAAATTTTTAGTACTTCATTTTCACCTTGTCTATTGGTTTTTACTATTTTTCTTTGAAAAAATATTTTGATTGCTCTAAAGATTACAATATACATGTGTAACTTACAGTCTCCTAGTATCAGCATTTTGCCATTTCAAGTGAAATAGACATTACAATCATTTAGGTACATTTATCTTTGCTTTATAATGTAGATTTATTCAATATTTCCTTTATATACATTACTAATCATGTAAGACAATATAATTTTGCTTGGAGCCATCTACCATGAATTGTTAGAACCTGAGGACAGGGGAAAAAAAGAAGAATCAAGATATATTATGTTCAAGTACAAATGTGATTATTATATATATAAAAACTGTACAAATAAAATTAATTTTTTAAAAACTCAAGGGTAGTGTACTACTCAAATGTTTAGTGTTCTTCATTCCTGATTTTCAAAATTTCTTTGTTATTGTTTTGTTTGAAAAACTTTCAACAATTTTTTTTTCTCTTTAATACTTTTATTTTTTAGAACAGTTCTACGTTTACAGAAAAACTGTATAGTAAGTACAGAGTTCTTATATGCCCCTTCCACACTCCGGTCCATATTCCTTATTGTTAACATCTTGCATTGTGGAGTGTTTGTTATAACTGATGAGCCAATGTTGACACTTTATTAACTAAGTCCGCTCTACATATGGTTCACTCGTTGTATATTTTTTGTATAATGGCACGTACCCACCACTGCCATATCATACAGAATTCTTTCGCTGCTCTAAAAAAATCCTCTGCTTTGCTATTCCTGGCCTCAGAACCACTGGTAACCACTGTTTATGTAGTTTGCCTTTTCCAGAATGTCACATTGCTGGTGTCATAATGTGTAGCCATTCCCAATTGGCTTTTTTCAATTCGCAATATGCATTTAAGGTTTCTTCATGGCTTGACAGTTCATTTGTTTTATTGCTGAATAATACACCCCATGGTATAGACGTAGCATAGTTCATTCACTTAGTGAAGGGTATTTTGGTTGCTTCCAAGGTTTGACAGTTATTAATAAAACTGCTGCAAACATCTATGTGCAATTTTTTTTGTGTGTGGACCTGTTTCCAACTCATTTGGATAAATACCAGGGAGCACGATTATTGGATCATATTACTATGTGTTTAGTTTACTAAGCGTTTCATTTTGTATGAAATTGCCAGATCGTCTTCCCAAGTTGTTTTTTAATCCCAACCAGCAATGAATAAGAGTTCCTATTACTCCATATCCTCATTGATATTTGGAATTATTAAGGTCTTATATTTTAGCTATTTTAATATGTATAAAGTTACCTCATTGTTTTAATTTTCTGTTCCCTGGCATGATATTAGGCATCTTTGCATATGCTTATTTGCCATCTGAACATTTTTGGTGAGTTATCCAACTCTTTGCCCATTTTTTAAATTGAGCTAATTTCTAATTGTTGAGATTAAGAGTTCTGTGTATATCTTGGATGAAAATCCTCTATCAATTATGTGTTTTGCAAAGATTTCCTCCCTCTCTGTGATTCATTTTTTAATTCTATCAACAGTGTCTTTCACAAACCCAGGATTTTAATGCTTTTCCTTTCATGGATTATGTTTTTGATGTTTTATCTGTATTACTGAAAGATTTTTGCTTATGTCATCTTTTAAGGATTTTATAATTTTGCATTTTACATTTAAGTCCAAGTTCCCAAATAAATAGGTATTTCTAAATTTTATGTTTCCATTGTGAACTTTTTTGTTTTTTTGGTACCGGGTCCTTGCACTTGCGCAGCAGGCGATAAAACCACTGAGCTAAATCCCCTGCCCTCTAAATTTTATTTGTTGACCTCTTAGTTGTATTGAAATCAGAGAAATTTACTCTGAATTATTTCAATCCTTTAAAAGTTCTTGAAATGTGTTATGGCCCAGGAAATAGTCAAGTCTAAATATCTTACATACTTGAAAAGAATGAAAATGCTGAAATTATTGTAGAAGTTCCTACATAGGCCTAGTCCTAGTATATTAAACTGTCATTAAAATCTATTCTTTACTGATTCTTTTGTACTTTTCTTATCAAATAGAGATATGTTTAAGTATTTTACACAATGATTTTGGATTTAATTCAGCTAATTTTTGTTTCATATATTTTCAGACCATTATTGGGAAAATATATATGTAGAATTATTATATCTTGATTTAAACTCTACTCTTCATGCAGGATATTTAGCCCTAGCATACCTTTTACCTTAAAGATATTTTATCTAATATTGATAAAGCTACATGTTGTGAATGCTGTACTAGTCTGCCTTCATTTCCCCTCAAGACTCAAGGATTCACTCCATCAAGTGCTAGGACTACCACACTGGCTTTATCCACCAGCCTCTGCAGTTGTCCTCAGATAAAGGGATCCACCTCACTTACGATCATTCTCCCTTCCTACGGACACCCTGCATCCCAGGACTGGTCCGAGCAGGGTTGCACAGGCATAACCCACAGCCTGTGCTCCTCTCTCCCCACTCTCCTATAAAACCCCAATTAAGCCTTTGCATTCTCGATTCCTGCACATAAATTTTTCTGCCTCTTTTCTATTTCTAACTCTGCCTAATATAATGTTAAACCTAGTTCCATGATATCTGGGTTTCTTTTGTTGTTCTTGTTACTTTTTTGTAGTTGCTAGTTCTGCACTAAATTTGAAGTGTGGCCTTATCTCTAATATTATCACAGTTATAGTTAGTTTTACATGTCAGTATCTGATGGTTTTATTATCTTGAGTCCCTGTGCTTCTTCTGAATCACAATTGCATGTCACAGAGTGTTTGCTGACCATTCATAATTTGCTTTTAGAAATAATTGAGAATTGAGATGATGCTAGCTTCTTCCAGAGGTTTTGTTTCCTTCTGCCAAGATTTAACTATGCTAGAATTCCAGAAAGCAAATCTTTAAGTCTTTCAGGTTCATACTCTCACTCCAGAGTAAGCCCTTTGGAGGCTTGGTCCACAACAAAGATTATTGTGGCAGACATAAAACTGTGACTTACATTATTTAGCACTGCAATTCCACCAAGTGCCCTGGCTCTTGGCTGCTTCCCAAAGCCCAGGGGAAATGGCGCAAGTGTGGATGGGAGATGGGGCAGAGAGCGATGCATCCAGCTACTTTGAAGGGTTGGCATTACCCATCTTTCCTCTTCCATCACTAACTTGAGTAAAAATTCAGCAAAGATGCCTGGTATATCCAAAGAACAGTGTATCTGACCAGTGTATCTGCTCTCACATGGATGTGTCTTAGCTGCAAGAGAAGCCAGAAAACAAAGTACCTAGTCTATAAAGATTTTATAGAGGGTGTTGTAGGTAGGATTGTAAGATGGCTCCCCACTTCCATCCCTCATGTCACATCTTGGATTATTTTATGTTGCATGGTCAAAGAATTTTGCAGATATACTTAAGGTCCCCAAGCAGTTAATTCTGGATTATTAAGAAAAATGGGCTGGGGATTTAGTTCAGTGGTTCCACTGCCTGCTTTGCAAGCACAAGGTCCTGAGTTCGATCCCAGGTACCAAAAAAAAAAAAGAAAATTATCCCATGTGGCTAACATAATTATATGGTTACTTAAAAGCAATTTTCTCCAAAAGCATAAACAGGGAGACAGAGATCCCAGGTATGAGGAGGCTTAAACATGCTTTGAGGAATGGCCTCCAGAAGCTGTGGGCAGGCCCTAGCTGATAGCCAGCAAGGAGATAGGGACCTCAGTTCTACAACTACAAGGAGGTGAATTCTGACAGTAACAGGAATAAACTTGAAGGAAGACACCAAGCTTTAATGAGAAACTGTGGAACTCAGGACCTTGTGCTTGCAAGGCAGGTGCAGCACCACTGAGCTATATCCATGGCTAAATGAGTGTTGTTTTGAGGCATGAAGTTTGTAGTAATTTGTTAGATGACCATAGAAAACTAATATAGGGTTCATTCTTTGCCTCTCACAAAGATTCATGAGGTGACAAAACTTGATTATCTAGACAATGGGTAGCAAAGTGAATATTAAGATATGCTCTAGGGGACAACAACAGTAAAGGATCTGTGTGCTATTTAAGATAAGCTGTTTACTGTACAGTTTTCAACTAACTACAGAAGAAACAGCATGGCCAACTTTTAAAAATGCTCTCGTCTCTCAGGTAATGGGGAAAAAAATAAAAACCAAGATATATCATGTACAGGTACAAACACCCAATGATAAATGTAAATGAATTGTATACCTAAATTGTACCAATAAAAGAACTTAAATTTAAAAAAAAATACAACCCGTCTGACTTATTTCACATGAAGAAAAAACAAAATGAGAGAAATGCTGTCTTCTAGGGCAGCCAAGGCCAGCATGTACCCAAAGAGAAAAGATTAGTCCCCTGACTCAGATGTGGTAGTGCATGCCTATATTCCCAGCACTCTGGGAGGCTGAGGCAGGAGGATCAAAAATTCAGGACCAGACTGGACAACTTAGCAAGACCCTGTCAAAAAACTAAAAGGGCTGAGGATGTTGCTCCATGAAAAGGCCCTGAGTTCGATCCCTAGTATCGAAAAAAGAAATCCCAGAAATGTTGGCTACAGATATCTTTTAAGTACAATTCTGATTTTGCAAAACATACAGAGAACCATAATCTTAATACGACCAGTAATTAACTCACAACAGTACAAAAAGACAAATATATACAACATCTTTATAACCTCACAAAATTTTTAAAGTGTACAAGCAACTCAATTTATTTGAACAAAGATGGCATTTTTGTTTTCCATGAATGAAATTACTGTACAATTCAGAGACAGAGCTCAAAGAAAATGAACTAGCTTTGAAAAATACTGTCATGTTAAAAACAATTCTAAGTTGAAATGAAATACTGTGAATAGTGTTAACTGCTGTACAGCAATATTTTATCTAATAACTGTATTAATCCACTTGCTAATTAAGGCTTTGATTTATAAAATGCATATACTTCCAAAACTGTTAAACACTTGCACTTATAAATTAATTTACAGAGTTCATACTTTTTCTAATGCCAACTAATTATTAGCAAAAATAATACAAAATGATTGCCTTGCAAGCAATGAACTTATCTTCCTTAGTAAACAAAACATAAATTAAATTACAATTTCTTAGCCACTCCTCTAGAAAATCTGTGACATTATTAAAGAGGAGACAGATTTCCTGTTCTACATACACCAAGAGGTCTCCTGGTGTGGCCCATTGCTATTGCTTCATTCACATACTTTCTTAGGCTCAAAAGACTCAGGACCTGGAATGTCTTTTGAAAGTGAATGTATGTACAGGTAGAAGACAGCAGTCCAAGAGTGAGAAGTCTACTGCCGAGGTAGAAGGGTGCAGGACATGTGAGCCAAGCACTTTTATCTAAGCATAGGGCTTCTGGAACCTTACAGTTTGGGCAACTGGTTAGCAGATACTAGTTGGGACAATTTGAGTCCTCCAATATTGTATACATTGCCAGATTTTATGCCATTGTTGAGAACAGAGAGGGAACATACAGTAAAAGTCATTTATCCTCTCCCAGTCTTCCAAATCCTCTCTATGAGACCTACAATTAAAACAACTGTTAGCTCAACCTGCACTAGGAGAAGAAATAAAGTTCTGCAGACACCGTCAGTTAAGAGACTCCCAACCCAGCAAGCAAGGACTTTGAGTGCAACTAGAATAGATCTGCATTAAGGGCAAAATATTTCAAGTAGGTATTATGTTGGCTTCTTGATAACTTCTAAGGTTTCATTTTCCCTTTCTGGAGATTGTTAAAGTGTGTTCCACCCAATTTCCTAATTGGAAATGAGCAAGCAACAGTAAGAATCCTGCATTATTAAAGGCAAAAGCAGCCTCATGTCAGTATTTTATGAGCTTGTCATCAGCTCACTTGGGACTATTTAAAAAAAATCAGGACCCTATCCTATGTTCAGGATTTTCTACATGTGAGCCATCTAAATTCTATGTTAAAGTAGCTTAGTTTTATTAGGCTACATGTATCTAAAACCAATACTGAATGAAATGGATTTTTAAAAAAAATCCTTACTTTCCATCTAATGAGGAAAATGTGAGCAAAAATTCAAGTGTTGATGTCCCTTTCCTAGGAAGAGATTTAGGAGAACCTGACTGCTCACTTTTGAACTCTGATCAGTTCCTTCCGAAATCAACATAGCATTAGGATCAGATGTTAAAACAATAGGAAAAATATTTCTAAAACTAGGCATTCCTTAAAGACAAAATTTTGCTAATATTCGGAAAACCATAAAAAGAGAGGTTTAAGGGAGAAGAGTAATGTTCTTAGTAAAGTAGGGACTAAGAAAACCAGGATATAGCAATATATATATATATATATACACACATATATATATATTTTAATATATTTTTTTTAATGCCAAAATGCAATGAAAGTAGGAGGTGCTGAGGCTGCGTGATCCCTGAAGTGGGCGGCTCTGTGGAACCCAAAGAGGTTCACCAAGAGATCATCACGTAAGAAATGAATTTTGTGAACTAACTAGCTGTTCTTTGGAGAGCAGAACATCTTGGCAAGCTTAAAGGCAAATGTTTTTATTTCTTTTCATTAAATAAGCGCTGATGAAGTTAACCGTACAATCAGCCCACCATGCTGTCGTGCAAATCTCGCAGTAACAAAACACTGTCTCAGAGGTTACACGTTGGTCTCAAGTCCTAGCAGACGTCCCATTCTCTCCACGTTCTTGTCGATTATAGCTTGACAGGTTATCTCCTTGGCACATTCCATAGGAAACCAGCCCCTTTCTCCATCTCGAAGTCGTTCCCCCTCATACCAGCCTGCGAGGAAGAACAGAGTCTGCCTCAAAAAGAAGTGTATCTGGAGGAATGTCACTGCACCAGGCTCCGAGGAGGAGGTGAGGACAGCTCGAGGTAGCATCTCTATGCAGGCTGGGTACTGTGGATGACGCGAAAGGTGAAGAGGGAAAGCTTGGAAGTAAGGAGGCTGATAGAGTATGTGAATTACTGTTGAGCTGGGGAAGGGGATTCTTTGGGTAAGGGTAGCAGAAAAAAACTCCTTTTGAAAGTAAGAACTCCTTTTTGAAAGTAAGAACTTTTGGAGTTGAGAATGAGCTCACTGGAGAAATGAGAAAGAAAGAAAACTTTTCAATAGGACACACATGTGTAAATATCGAATAGTTTCTCTGGTGTGAAAAACTACAAGTGTAAATAAAGATCAAATGGTATAGCTGATAATGTGAAATAGGAAGAAAAGGTCTAAAGGAGTAGGGAAAGTGGGAGCGGTAGGGGAAAGGAAAGAAGGGAAAGGAAAATATATGAGAAAAGGAAAAAATGGAAACGAAATTTTTGTAAATAGAGAAGGATGGAGGGGGTAAAGGGAGGGCAAGGGAATGGGGAAAAAATGAGAGCCAAGGTACATCATGTAGAGGTACAAGATCCAATGATGAATGTAACTGTATTGTATACCTAAAATGTACCAATAAACTTAAAGGAAAAAAAAAAAAGAAAACTTTTCATGGTTCCATTTGAATAATACCATGTGACTGAATCCCCACCCAAAAGTAAATGTGTAGATAAATGAAGACATGTATGAAAAACAGGAAAAGTGAAGGAAGGTACAAAAAGAGAAAAGGCAGTCAGGGTAAAAGTTTTCAAATTCCTTAAAACACCTCTGTAAGTCATGTTTAGGGCTCTGAAAAACCTCTCCTTTGGAAAACAAAATCTTGGGAAAGAGGAAAAGAAGTAAGAATGGAGAAGTAAACCTAGTCTTAGAGTTGAGAAGACAGTACGTGCAAGTTCAAACATTAATGTGTCAGGATATGGAATACGAACATTAATGACAAAATGAGACTCCTTGGGACTACGGTTCTTGCTGGCCACAAGTCCCTCAGAAGAACACACCTACTCACCATCTCCAACACGCTGATAAATGAGGACCACATCCGCCACTTGCAGGGAGAGTTCATCTGGTTGCTTGGATGTGAATGACCTAATGATTTCCACCTGGGTCAGTGCTGCAGAGGAAATGGGACACACTGAGCTTCCAGTGGCAGAGGAGGAAAGAAACAGGTATAAAGCAGCAGTGTGCATTAACTTGGCTCTTCTGTGCAGTTTGGAGCTGGTGCTGACAGACTAAGGTAGGTTTCTGTGAGGAAGATCTTTTTTAGGAATTTTTTTGTTTGGCTACAAGCTTAGAATTTTAGAAGCTCAGATTCAAAAGGTCTTTTATGGTGCATGAATACCCTGAATGACAGATTTGATCAGCAGTCATTAGTCATGTCATGTACTGCTGCAGAAGGCAGCCATTGTGGACTGGGGAAACTGAGGCAAGACAGAGTAGATGATATGCCAAGGCTGTGCAACTGATAATAAAATGGGTAATATCCAGCTCTCCTCCAGAGTGTGCCTCCCCTCACCAGTAGCAGTGTATGCCAGCTGGTGAACTTCAGTAAGAACATGAATGCCCACTAAAAGCTTACAAGGCATTTTAGACTCCCTTCAAAATGTTGAGACATAATATAAAACAACTTTAGTGACTTGGTACTACTAACATGACTTTATTTTTTAAAATAAAATTTTATTTCACGCCAATCCCTTTGGCTTTGACTTCAAGAGCTGATTTTTGAGTGCTCCAAGATAACTAGTTTTGCTGCTCCAATCCTTTGGGTTGATCTTCCAAACAGAATCACCAGAAGTACAACATCAAAGTTAAGGAGATGATAAATAGGCACAGACACCAATATTTACTGCAACAGTCCCTAGTTCTCTGGCAGAAAAAAAACATACTTAAAGGTCAAAAGGAATAGTTAGGTAATTTTTTTTAGGTTGAAAACTTTCAGACTACTCTGATGGAAAGAAAGCTTAAATCTGCAACAATTGCCCGCTGATAAAAGCTGAAAATTTAAGAGCTCTATAGTTAAGTAAGGATTTCATCAATGTAATTTATCTTAATCCGCACAGTAACCCCATGCTATATATAATGATGTACCTGACTTTCAGACGATTAAACAGCATCAAAAAAGCTAAGCAACAATTTTCCATGTTTACATAGCAAAGAAGAACTGCACCTTGGACTTGAATTGAGACCCCCTGACTTCCAAAGCAGGGATCAGCAGTTCTGAGTAAGGCAGAAGGAAGGTTTCCTTGGAGGAAATTTAGGAAGCAAGGACTGTGGAGGTGTACTCCATCAGTACCCCTTGTCCAGCAGGGGGCAGAGCCCCTCTACATCCTGACTCAGGCTGCACCTCCAGGGAACTTACAGGTTCGGTCTGGAGGCTGCTTCCCACTGCTGTGTCCGAGGGCAGTTATCCAGCGGGCTCGCTCACTCCTAAACACAGAGGGCAGAGGCAGTTGAAAGAGTCAAGGTGTTTAGACATGGAACAGAGTATGTTCCGGACTCAATGCAAACTTGTTCCCCAAAAACACGGGAGAGATCCCAGACCAAGTACAGGATTGTACTCAAAACAAGCATAAGAATTATTTTAAAACAATAGCTTGAGAATAGACAGAGAACTATTCATCATGTCAAAAGATTCAAAATAAATCTGGCTAGTTATTGGTTGGATGAGATTTCTCATATGACAGTTTTGACATTTAATAAAGTGCAGATGATACTAACATTACAATCACAAACAGGTATATAGCACATTCATAATCTGATTCCCCCCCACCCCCGGGTCTCACTATGTAGAGTTCAGGTTGGCCTTGAACTCACAAACTCACTTTATAACCCAGGGTGGCCTTGTGGTGATCCCTCTGCCTCAGCCTCCAACTGGTGGGATTATAGACATGTGCCACCACGCTTGGCTTGATGTGTTTAACTTTTCAAAAAAGTAAATTTCATTTTTAAAAAATCCTGGTCAAGGAGCCAGGGCGGGGTGGGGGTGGTGGTCAGCTCAGCGGTTCCGGTGCCTGCCTTGAAAGTGCAAAGCCCTGAGCTTGATCCCCAGTGCCAAAAAAAAATAATTAAAAAAAACCCTGGCCAAGCAGTCTTTCTCCACTGTTTCTCCTTCTCATATACTCAAACCATTTTGGAAAAGACAATAAATTACATATGTTTACACTTGCCTCACCTGTTACATAAATAATTTTGAAATTGGTATTCTTTGACTATATTTAAACTGTTCTCGAATGCTTTTCTGTGTGTCAGTGTTAAGGATCAAATCCAGGGCCTTGTTCATGCTAGGCAAAAGCTCTACCACTAAGCTGCATCCCTAACCCTTAAACATTTTAAAATGGTATAACAGGAACAGTTCCTATCCAAAATATAAGGGGAAAAAACCCCAAGACTTTGTAATAAAATAGTCAGCTCTAATTACATGAAACAAAATAATTGATTAAAGGATCCAAAGTTTCAAATAAGCAAGCAATGCTTCATAATATAATAATCTCATTTCACATTTTGAAGATCCAATACAGTATTAGAATTGCAATTAATTTACATACACATTCACATACTTAAATCACTTCAGAAACACTCATTAAACCCACACTTATCAGATACGAGCACTTGACATCTATTATTTCCTGTAATCTTCCCAAAAGTTGATTGGAAGGATAACAAGAAGACCAGACAGAAGTCCTGAGGTAAGTGACTTCAATCAAGGTCAATTTCCACTACACTACCCTTTCCTTTTGAAGAAGGGACACTTTTACGCCGAGTACTTTAAACTTTTTCTTCTTCTTACAATAGCTGGCATAAATTGGAGTAATTTGTAGGAAAATGGATGCACCTTGAAACCATAATTGAAACAAATCAGACACACACAAATATTGCATGATTTCCTTTATATGAGAAACTCAAAGTATAAATAAAGAGCAAAATATAAGATAGACAACAGGAAACTGGGATATAGATGAGAAGAGACGGAGAGAGGGACTGATGGTAGGGGAAATAAAAAAAATTAAGACGTGTCATGTACATGTACCAACTCCACACAATAGATGTACTCCAAATCATTATGTACTGCAAACATGTACTAATAAAAATGAAAATTTAAAAAGATACACATTCAAAAAAATAAAGTTCCTTGTTCCTGTCACTCCATCATGGCGCGCTTGCTCTTAAATACCTGCTTCCCTCTTCATCCACCTATGCCCACTCATTATTGCCATTTAAGGACTTTTGTTGTTGTTCAGAGACAACATAACAAAATAAATTTTACTCACAAGTGTATATAGCTCTGTTCCTGCTGACTTACACATACCCAAATGTACATGCTGCCAGTCAATAACCAACTACTGCCCAAGGGTAGCTACTGCTCAGATGAAGCTTACCTGCTCTGTACGTCAGAAAATGGAACTCTATAGCACATGTGCTTTCACATTTGGCTTCTTTTACTCAGTATATCCACTGAATATTGAAAACACAAGCCTCATCTCCTCCAGATGGCCACTGGTGATATGTATTGGGCTACATTTCTGTCCTCATCCCTGTCAGACAGTCCTGGAACCCCTCTGCACATCTCTATCTCATAGCTGGTCAATGGTAAGCCTTATGAATCCAGCCACCTCTTGTGTTTGATTCACTGCATTATCTCCTGAGCACTGTCTAGCACTGAACATGGGTCTTAGTGAACATCTGCTAACAAACGCGTCATAGCACTTATTATACATTGAAGCCTGATCATGCATTCAATTGCCGGCTTTCTCCTACCAGGTCATAAACCCTGGCAGGGCAGGAATTAGGTTTTGCTCTAAAGTATAGTATGGAGCCCCTACGTGCTAGGTATGGTACTAAGTAATTTACAAGTATCATCTCATCTAATCTTTACAACAAACTTGCAAAGAAAATATTACTATTTTTATCTCCTTTTTAAAAGCAGATTTGGAGAAGTAAACACCTATTCCCAGGGAGTGTGGGAACAACGAGGTGGTATCCCCTAGTAGGTGCTTATAAAATACAGGAAAGGCAAGAAGGGTAGAACTGGTATGCTAAAACAAACCTACTTAAAAAATAAAACAAGGCTGGGTTCGGTTAAGCTGGTGTGTCAACTAGTGATAGGAACAATTTTATATAGAAACTGATGACACTGTCTTTCTTTTAAAAACTGTCTCTTCCCAATACCAGGCCAAGTGCTTTGCAGTGGTTTTATAACGCACAACTCCCTTTAAAACAATCCCCAGGCAAAATATTAATCTCTGGTGCCTTTTTGTTGGGATAAGATCTAGGCTCAACTGTAATTTCCAAAATACAAAGACAATTGAAAATGAAATAATACTTCATGGACAGAGGAGTTGCTCACCAAGAGGAATCAACATGATCCATTCATGTCTCTATATGCTGTCCCAGAGCCTGTTAGGCTCATCCTGGGATTACCACTGCATCTTTATCCTGGCCTTCCCAGAGCCCTCTGGAGCAATCTGGAGCCAGACCTTGCACACATGACTTTCCACCCTGCCGCAGTTTCTAGCAATCCACATGAAATCTCTCATTCCCGTGGCATGCTGTCTGGATGCCAATGGCATCCCTTAGACACAGCGGCCCCTTGCAAGGACTCCAGAGGACAGAACAACACACTCCTTGTTGCCCTTGCTGAAAGGAGCTGCTTCTTGAAACTGCTTCAATTGAATCAGTCCCGCCCCCTCTTAGAAGTGGAACCTCATGACTTCCCCTGGGGCTTCTAAGAGCCCTGCCAAGTAGCTCCCTCCCACCATGAAGCAGAAAGCACTCTAAAGCAGGGAGGAGACTCACTCATCCTAAGACAGAATTTGAATAACAAGAAAAACCAGGCCACCCCCATTATTAAATTTAGATATCAAGTCCACCATTCACCTTCACGCACTGACATCTATTTTGTCCAGGGACATTATGAGACAATAAAGATGACTTTGGAACCTACCTCACACTCCAGTCAGACTTTTCCCTTTTCCCAAAGTGACAAAATAAGAAATGCTGCACTAATATAAATCGCTACTTGGTGCATGCCAACTTCCAAGGCTCAACTGACCATTCCTTTCTTCAACCAGCATTCATTTGAGTGCACAGTCCCTGTGCTAGGCTGGAGTTGCAAAGAGAGTTGCTCCTCAGGGAACAAAGTGGAGAACACAAACCCCAATATAGCCTGTAGCGTTCTGAGACAAAGTGTTCTACACTGACTCAGGTAGAAAAGGAAGACTCGGTTGAGAAGAGTCTCTTTTCCATCTGCGGCCGCAGTCCCTCCCCAGTTCTCTGTGTGAGGCAGCAGTTAGCGGCCCTAGGACACCAGCCTGCCTCTCATCTAACTGACTGATAAGCATGGTAGGTATAAACTTGATTACACAGAGTTCAAAGATACAGAAAGTCAACTTCTCACTGGATACCAGGCATCTGCCAGAAAACCCAAACTTGTACTGGGAAAGTGGGATGGGTTTTGAAATAACATAGGATCACTGATGCGATATCACCACTGGTACTTCACTCCTAATTTCTCAAAGGAAGAAACCTTAGTTGCTCCTTAGCCTTCTTTTTATCCTTCCTCCAATGGCAGGCATTCATTCAGCTACTTGTGCTCCTTGTCATTGCCTATAAGTTTCTGTGATTCTGTTAGAAACGTCCACACCTACGGCCTCTGATTAAAAAAATAATAATAAAAACACATCTGCAGCCAAAAAAATAATTGTGAAGATGACTGTTTTTGTCCATTCCTTCACACATTCAGTGTAACTAGACTGGTTTCATAAACTGATGTAAGAAAGAAAATCCACAGGGTGAAAAAGTCACCGTGAATGCTGTGAGACAAAGCCTCTTAAAGTTGGATGCCAGCTCAATTTACCTAATTTAAAACATCTAACCCAAGCACAATAATATTCTTGGTCCCCTAAAAAGAGTTCTAAAATTTAGAATTTGTGACATGCGGTGTAGTTAAGTAAAGTATTGCTTGTTTATAGCATCAAATAGCTCTTGACACCGGAAGCCTAGACTGGGATCTTTACGTTAACTCGAACTGGGTCAACTATCTGTTCATGGTTGATTAAAAGACCTCACTGATAAAAGACATGTATCATTTCACTCCCTTCTGTTTGACTGAAGTCAGTGATGAGGATCATACAAATCAAATACTGTTTGAACTTAGATTCTAGATTCAACAAGGGAAAAAAATTACTATGACCTGAAATAAATATATTTTTCTATATAATTTGTTTTCTCTGTATTGCGATTTTTTCTTAAAGGATGGAAGTATATGATTGCATCTGAGATAGGATTTACAATTTTATTCCAACCCATTTATTTCCTGTTGTTAATTAAATCATTAACAGAAGCAGGAAGAGCACAAAGACTCCCTGCTGACAATTCCCCTTTATCAGGAGGCCCAGGAACTGGTGTCTGGAGGGCTGAAAGCACCAAGC